GAGACCTAAGACTTTACCCTAACAACATCAACAGGAACAGAAGAATACAAAACCCTGAAGTGTGGATACCCATTATAAAAAAAAAAACAAACAAACAAACAAAAAAACCACTACAACTGGAGAGCCATATGACAGCAGACCACCAAGGGAACAACTCACTAACATCAAGAATTGAAATGCGCCAATCACAGCGGTGGAAAAAAACAACCAATTACAGAGGTGCATCCTGCTTTATAAAAAGACCCTAATCCAGTCAACCTTATCACCTGATGAAGACTAGCAGTATGCAGTCAAAACATCCTGATCCACATCATAAGTGATCACATTGAGAGACAAACAATAACACTTTATTATTATAGCAATGATGTAGTAAATAGGCTAACAGATAGTTACAATGTAATAATAAAATCCTACTTCCTATGACAAGTGTTATCATAGTTTTTGAGTGATGACCAAATAATTGTTACCTGTTCTGTTGACTTAAGTGGTTTGCAGAGTTTAAATATTTTTGAGAGTTCAGCAAGTCCTATAAAATGAAGAAAGAATTTCAAATAAATTCAAACTGAAATAGAACTCCACACCAGTTTCACTCACAGAGAATTATTGATCTCCAAGTATAGAACATCATGAACTGTCATTTGTACATGCCATAATGTAGGATGTAACCAGCCCCTTGTCATATTTACCCATATAAATGACAGTCACTCACTCAGACAGCTTGTTCAAAAGGAGTCTGATTCACTCACTTAATGTACTCCTTAATACTAACCCTTTACACCCTAACATCAGTAAGAATATTCACCATACTGTTCTCTATACATTTCCTGAAGCACTGACAAGCAGAATTTGTTGAAAAATCAAGAGCTTTATAAGTTGGTGATCATTTCCTTGATTCCTGTGACCTTAATGTTTTATTCAGGGGTGATATTGTAAGGAGAAATTAGAAGCTGATCACTCTTAGGGGTTAAAGGGTTAAGGAAAAGAGGATGACACAGTAATGAAGCAATTTCCTCCTGCAATAGTGCAGCACACTCATCCCTCAAAATGGGAGTATTACCTGTTCCCCAGTCCATTACCTAATACCAACATTCCATGTTTTCAACTTAAATGCAGCAAAAGATGTAAACCCCTTAATTTTCAAGATTTCTCTCTTGGAGTTCCTACTCATTTTCTTTTAAATTGTTAAGAGAGTTTAACATTAGGATAACACATTTGATATAACCTATTTTCGGGTTTTTACATTGTACATTAGATTTTGAGGGTTAAGCAACTCCATGGATTTCCTACAGATAACTCTGATTCATTTTACCTTCTGCACCTTGATTTTTCAGCATCTCAATCATTTCAAAAGCTGTAATAACATACCCTGGACAATTGGCATCAGCATTTAAAAAGTCCTTGGAAATAAATGACATAATTATACTACTAAAATCAACAATATAGACATAGAAACAAAAGTCTGGCCATGTTGCGATAATTTTGCAGTTATTGTTGAGAGTTTTTCTTTTGTTGATGTCATTAAAAACAAACAGATATTTTAGATATCATCCAATAGGAGCAATAATGTCTAGAATTGAATCTAATAACAACTCGTTTTTTCATAATGTCCTCCACTACATTTCTCAGAAAGGAGAAAAATTAGTGTGACTCCCTCAAATCTTTTACTATTGACAAATGCTGACCCTTTAACTCCCAGATCTCATTATTAATTCTCCTAACTATACACTATACAATTCTTATGATGTTACTTTGGAGAATTTCATGTTGGACCAACTGATAGTCTCCTCTTTGATATTTTTCTTCAGTCTTATCACTTGTCTACTTGATATTGTATTAATATTGTAAGGAGACATTTTGTTTTGGTCACTCATGGAAGTTAAATGTTTAGTGAATTAATTGTTTCCCTGATGTTATGGAGAGGACAACTAATTATTAACCTGAACAAGAAATAAAGCTGAAAAAGTTGAAATGTCAAAAAGAAAAAAATTACCATTACCTCTGTCACTGCAGTGAAGAAAAAGTCTCTTTCACTTCCACGGAAAGTGGTCATGTAAATTGGAGCACTGGCTGCCAAGGCAACATCTATCACATTAGGATATTTAAACCTCATGTAAGCACTCAGCATTCCACCATAACTGAAAAACAATCAAGGAAAGATTCATGATACAGAATATTTCATTACACTAAATTTAACAAGTCTCAATTCAATCCCTCTTCTTGGTATCCAATCAGGACCTATATTTCCTTTGTGTGCACATTAAAAAATATCACATTTATGGTGCTGATCGTTTGTCAGCATATAATTTATTTAATTTACTCATCCTCTGACACAATTCAAAATAATTTGGAATTTGTACTCATCATGGAAGTGTTCAAATATTCACATTTTGTATGGAAACAGACTGGAATCTTGTTATTGGAAAAGAGTTTGATTCCTTGCTAAGATGTCTTTTGAAAGTCAAAAAAAAAAGGAAAGAAAGTAAATAATCGGTCAAAGCACTTTACAGTCTAATAGACCTTGATGAGTTACTTGGAAACCAAATTATAACAATTATATTAATGTTGTAGTTTCTGTGAAGGTGATCTTAATTGCTGTAACCTTTCTTTGTTAAGTTATTTCAATGTACCTGCCACCAAAAGCAACAACCTTACTCTCTGTGGCTTTAAACTGAATCTTAAGATCAGTCACTAGGACAGCATAGTCTGCAAGGGCTTGCTCCACTGAAAGGTAACCAACTTTATCATGATCAAACGAGGATGAACCAAATGGAAGGGAATCTCCATAGTATCTCTAAAAAGGGTGAAGACAGAGTACAACAAATTATAGCTAGAAATCAGAGGATCAAACATTGAACATTCACACAAAGTATCCTTGTGTACTTACATGTTCACCAAAAATAACCAAAGCATTGAACTTCTGAGCTGCTTCAAAAACAAAGCCTGAGTTTTCCCAGAAACCAGTTATTGGTCCTTCATTGCCAGTGTAAAAGAAAATTGGTCCTTTTTCATCCCAGTATTGATCTGTGAAAAAAACATTCAGCACTAAGTTTAACAAATGATTACTTCCAGGCATATGAAAGATAAAGTGAGAACCATGGAGGGATGGGTACAGCTGCTCATTTCTTTTCTTTACTTCAACGATTGCTTGTTTTTTCTCTTTCTTTACGAGCCAAGAAGCACAACCATAAGAATGTAGGCTGAAGGCTAGTGAAATCAGGTGCAGATTGAAATGGTATTTAATGGATGCCCCCTTCTTAAAAAAAAAACCCCAACAGCAGTCAAAAAACTAAAATGTGACTTGGTTACAACGTCCATTTAACAACGAATCCTTTG